ATTTTATATATCGCCTAGGCATGCATATACGGTATTGTTATTCGTATTTGTTGACTGATGTTATGGTTACACCATTAATTATTAATTGATTATTATATTTTTTAATTTATTATTAAATAAAAAATATAAATTAAAAAAAATGTAATATAAAAGTATAATAAATAATTATAATTTTGATCGGTGGATGCAAAAGGGAGGTAAATGGAATGATGTTCTCAAATAATTATAATAAATAATTATTCGGCTAGATCTGGCAAGATACAACCTCCTATCCTTGATCGATCGGGGGTACGATGTTATATCATTTTATTTTTCTCCCTCTCCTTCTTTCTTCTCCTCCCTCCATTTATTAAAAAAAATTAAAGTAAAAAACTTTCTCCCCTGTAATTCTTTTTATAACTAAATAGAGCAATTTTTTCCTCACTCTTCCAACTCAAACCAAACGTTTCTATAAAGAACAAGAAACATGTATAGAAACAAGGTAAAACAATAAAAGATAATTAAACTTGATTAAACCGTATAAAGTGCAAAGATATATAAGTCAAGATCTAAAGAAAATTAAATGTCAAAGAATCATCACCATTCACTGGTCAATATCCTTAGAAAAATCTATCCACAAAAGAAACGGATGATGGACTTAACATGGAAATTCGAAAAAAATAAATAAAGCAAGGAAGGGAATGGGAAGCTATGTACCAGAGTTTTGAATGAAGAGAAGCGATCGAGGCAAGGAAGAGGTTGAAAGTGACAAATTAAAGCAGCAAAGTGAGAATCGAGGAGTGGCGACGTCAACGATCATAAGGCAGAGTGAGAGGAGCAGCACTAGTACAGCGTTCAGATAGTGATAAAGATCGGCTGATGTTCTTATTAGCTGGTGCTTTACCGAAAGAAAGAAACCGCGTCCGCTGTCTTTTATCTTGGTTGGTACACCTACTCCACTTGTTTTAACTCCCAACTCCATTGTTTAAATTAATGGAGGTGACATTAATAATAAGATTAATATTAATTTTTATAAATATAAATATGATTTAATAGTTAAAAAGATATGTATTAAATTATATGTT